CCCGGCCGGGGTCGGAGGGCTGGGCGAGGCTGAGGGTGAGAAGGGGAGGGCTCGGGGCTTGCGCTGCGAGGGGGCCTGGGCTCCGGCGAGGGTTCGGGGGGAGGAGGGAGAGGACGGGCTCGGACTCCAGACGTTGGGGTTCTGAAAGTGTGGGATCGGAGGTGGGCGGCGGAAGGGCCTGCGGGAGGATCGGAGGTTTGGGGAGTGGGGGGCGCGTCGGTGTGCCGAGGTCCTGGGGAAAGTGAGAGACTAGGAGGAAAGTTTGGGACGGAGGGGACGGGATAGGAGACAGGACAGTGGCGCTGCACGGTGACAGGGTCCGGGGCTCCCTTTCTCCTGTGGAAAGGAAGAGAGCAGAGTTAAACAGCATCAGTTGCAGCGAATTCTAATCGCCAGGCCTTTAGCTTTTAATAGGGTGGGAAGGGCGTTCGGGAACGGTCATGTGGGTTTGGAGAACTGGAGTTGGATGAGGGTTCAACTGGATCTGCTTTCAGAGGCTCCCCAGCTTCCTTCTCCCTTGTTTTTTCCTGGTCACGAAAAGAAGGGGAAATGGGGAAGCGGGTGTCGCGGGAGTGTGTAGGAGTAAAGGAGTTTTCTAGTTTTTGGCAGTGCGGAATAGGGAAACGGTAGTGCTGTGTTGGAGCCTTGTATGCTGAAGCGACGGCTCTGGAAGTCTGAGAAAGGGAACAGAAAACGCAGGACGGTGTTGGGCGGCCAGGCTTGTTAAGTAAACGGGCGCTTTAGTTTCCAGACTCTTATTTTACTGTTTGGGTGCTAGGCGGGAGGGGTCAGCATTCATATACAGAAATGTCCCTGGGGGAATGTGGTTGCTGCCCCAGTGGGTACCCCGTTCTCACTGTGGGCTAGGCAAGGGAAAGGGTGAAGAGAGAATTTGTAGGTTGGTTCTGGTCTGATAAATGAAATGTTTGATGTAAACAAAGTATCTTCTTTGGCTGTAACCACTTTCCTCCCTGGTCTTCCTAAAATGAAAGTCAGCAATTATACTGTAACAAAATAGGTGTCTCATAAGGAATTGAGTCCCTTGAGAAGGTATCAAAGGGTAGTTCTTTCTCCCACAGGTCGTTGAACTTGGGACCTTTTCTTGCCATGAGCCATTGAGGCTGGAGATCCTTGGAGTTGGTATTGTTTGTGAGTTGGCTAGTGGAGTTAGGGAAACCTGGGGACTTCTGTGGGGTGAGTTCTCTTGGCTTGGAGTAGGTTATTTCCATCGGAATGGCTTTAGGCTTATCCGTGTAGTTTTGCAGCTGAGATCAACTAACTCTTTGGGCCTTTGAGGTTCCAAAATAAAGCTCGAAAATTGACTTTTTCTCCCCCTTATTTTTGTTCTTCTGCTGGCTTTGAACCTTGTGCTAGGAAGAGACCTGGGAAATTAAGTTTCTTGCAGAGGTAAGTCTGGAACTTCTTTTATTGTTTTCAAGCAATGGAAGGGAATGGATGTGGCGTGGGAAGTGTATTGGGGTGAGCCCAGTAGTGGTGATAGATGCCAGGCAAAAGGGGTCTTCACCTCCTAAACGCATGAGACCTTTTGCAGCCACTGTCTCTTCAGGTAGCTGGAAGGAGGTAGGGAAAAAAAAAAAACCTTGGGGTAAGTCCGCAGCTTTGTTTTGCTATCATCCAGCCCTCTCGTCAGCTCTGTGAGAAACGTCTTTTCCCAGTCTTTTCGCATATGGGACGTTGTCTTCTAGCACGGTGTCTACTGCATGTGGCCTTTGGAGGGTTGCTGAGGCGCCTTCCATGGGAAGGCTTTCCTGCAGCTTATGCTTTCTTCTAGTTGTTCAAGGTTCCTGGAACCCTTCTTTTGAAAACATACTGTGTAATTCTGACTGCAGGTGTTTGGTTACACTTTCCCTGTCCCACCAGCAAGAAAGCTCCTTACCTACTTTTAGCCATCTTTAAGGCTTCTCGTGTTTTTATTTCACGTTTCAAGACATCACTCTTTTTAGTCCTTCCACGCGACTTCCTCTCTGAGGGCTTCTGAGAGAGTCAGAGACTTCTAGTTGCGTGAAGATACAGATATCCTTGCTTGGGATGAGACTACACATTGCTTGGAAGTAGAAACCTAATAGAAAACAACCAGTCAAGAAATCCCGTAGATATGTATAGACTGTCCGTTGGTCCTTGGCTGGCTTGGATGTCCCTAAAGCAAACAAACACATAAACAAACATCAGCTCTAGGAAATGCGGCAGTTCATCAGAATAAAGAATTTATTCAGAGAAACCGTAACCTGGGACTCATGTTAGGATCTCAAATGGACTCAAACCAGCCAGCGCGATCAGGACTTGTGTTTACCAGAGTGTTTGTCTCTTGGTGTCTGGCATCATTTCAGACACCGAGACTCAGGGTCTTGCTCATCTTCTGTTCAGACAGGGTGCATTCTCCTCACTATTCTGGTAGCGTCCTCTCGGCTCTCTGTATCATTCAAGCTGCGTTCCCTCGCTTCATTGCCACAGAAAGCCGAGTGTATTTTGGTTTAAGAGGAAGTTGGCCATATTCTTGTAATGCTGAACTTGGAACCCCCATCTGGATTGCTGAGTGAGTGAACTCAAAATCCTAGATGATAAGTGGGGAGGGCTGCCTATTAGCCTGCATGCCAGCCTCCTGACATTTCTCCTCAGAACACGGCCTTGGGAAACACAGACCCTTTCTCCACTTTGCTTCTTTGAATAAGCAATCCAAGTGTGATCAGCAGCCTAACCAGGAAGAGTCTGCCACGGGTTTGGTTGAAGACTTTAATGATGGCTGTGAGGGATGCGCACAGGATCCTTTTTGTCCGTCTTGCAGAGGATGGCGCTGAACTAGGTCAAAGTAGACCTCCTGGGATGGGCAGAAGGGAGGGTGGCCCTACCCCCTGCTGGTCACCTGACCGGAACAGCAGGTGTTAGAGAGGCTGAGGTGGTGGCAGCTCGGAACTCCTAAGTGCCAGCTGGACACTTAAGTTAAATGAGTCTGTGTCTGACTGGCTTTCCTTTTCTTCTGGAATATTGTTTGATGGGTTTGGGTCGGAGGGACTGATGGCTTCCTTCCCCACATCTAGGATGGAAAGTGACTTGCTGTTTCTATTCTATTTGACCATCATGCTCCACATAGAGTAGGGTGTCTCGTCCTTAATACTATTGACATTTTGGGTTGGATAATTCTTTGTCATGGGGGGTGTCCTGTGCATTGTAAGGTATTTGGCAGCATCCGTGACTTCTACTCACTGCATGCTGGTCACACCCACCCTTACCTCCTGCAATGACAATCTGAAATGTCCCCGGCATTGCCGAATGTCCCCAAGTGGGCAAAATTGCCCCTGGTTGAGAACCACTGACCTAGAAGCTCTGGTAATTTCTGGCACCGGGAATGACCTGGCCTGGGAATCCAGGGACTTTGTTTTTCCCCTCAAATGCAGGGGGTTAACCGCACTGGGCTGAGGCCCATTGTGGCGTCGTATCCAGCGAAGTTAGGGCCATGGTGCTTTCTGGGATTCTGCTTGCTTTTTTAGTGGCCAGTTATGTGGGGACACTGTTTCTTCATTTCCTGAGGCTCATAGTCAGGACACTTTGAATTAGGCAGCTCTGGAGCCCATCTGCTTTGCTGGGACCTTCATAACCAACAGCTGGCCACGCGGAGCAGGTGGAATGGGGGACAGGGAGAGGCCGTCGGGCTCTGAGGGGCTTGGCTGGTGCTGCCTGCAGTGAGCGGGAGCTTGTTCCCTACAGCCCCTCATTGACACCCAGGGCTGTGCCGTAAAGTGGGAGGTGGAGAGGTGCTGCCTATAGTTGCATAGTGTCCCAGCTGTTTCCCGTGCGGCATCTGAGTTCATTACCCGATGGCCACATGTTGGACCCCTGGCACTGGTCCCTGTGATTCCAGGGTGGGCTGCCTCTTTTCTTGAGGCATGTGTCTCTCTGTGCTTCTGTTTTAGGGTCCCGGAGGAAGAGGGGACCAGGTCCTGCTTGCTCCTCAGTTGACTGAGCTCCCATCAGCTCAGCTCTTCTGAAGTAGACTCTCATTTGACTCTCCTTAGCCTAGACTCAGTCTCTTGGTGTAGAAAGTGGACAGAACAACCCCTCTCGTTGCAGAATGGCTGTGGGTAGTCTGCAGAGTGTAGGAGGCTGTAGCCAGGTGGAGTGTGTGCGTGGTAACTGAGTTGCCTGTGTGTGTTTTTAATGAGGTCCCCTCACTCCTGGACTTCTACGAGTTTGTTTCTTCATTGACATTGCTTGTGACGGTCTCTTGGATATCCATTGTTAGGCTAGCGACATGAAGATGAATGTAACTTAGTCCCTGTGTATGAGTTAAGCTCTAATGGGATAGTCAGTGCACAGATGACTTTAATACACATTGATAAATGGCTTAAAGGAAGTATGTGCGGTGTTCCATGGGAGCACAGAGGAGGGCTGCTTATCCCTGCATGAGATGTAGAGAATGGATTTGAAGATGGCGTCTGAGCTGACTCTTCAAGGGTGAGTAGGAGTCAGCCATCGGAAAGGACGGTGACGGGCTGTGGGGTAGAAGGAAGACGGATTCAGGCAAAGGGAACAGCCTGAAGAACGTACAGGTGAATGAATTGCGTGACGTATGTGAATGATAAACTGATAAAGTTAGAATAAAAAGTGGGTTATGAGTTTGGAAAGGTATGCAGGACCTGATCTTGGAAGGTTTGGTGAGTTGCGTAAGGAGTTTGGAGCATTCTTATAGGTCAGGAGGGAGCTGTAGGTAGGTCTTAAGCAGAAAAGTGATGTGGCCAGCTAGCTGTTCATTTCAAATCGCCGACTCAGCTGAGTATGGGGTGGGTTTCAGTGGGTTAACATTGATGGTAAGGAAAGCTGTTGAAGAAGCTGCTGTGGAAGTCTAGGTGAGAGACAGCTGGGACCCGAACCGGGCCATTGGCAGGGGAGGTGGGAAGGTGAGGCAGGTTTAGGAAATATTTGGTAGTAGCATCAACAGGAATTTCTAATTGATTGGGAGGTTGTAGGTTGCGGTCAGAGGGTGGAGCAGTACGTTCTCTACACCTCACGCAGGGATAAGCAGTCCTCTGTGCTCCCATGGAATACTGCGGCAGGAAGTCTGTGACGGGGGTGGAGGTGAGAGTTGGTGGGCTTGAGGATTGGTTATTGGCTGGATCCAGGATGGAACCAAGTGCCAAATTACATAATGAACGTAGGGCCGTGATCGGTCATTGACGGGGCTGATAAATAACAACCACGAGGAAAGGTTAGAAGGTGGCATCACCAGAAGGTGTGTTAACATCAAATACTAGTGGATCAGGGGAATTACAAGGATGCTCAACATAGGAGCTTAGCCAAGTCTGGATTTAAGTCCATTTTTTGGGGTGAATATCACTGATTAATCTGAGCAGTTATGCTTCTGGAGCTGGATTGTGGGGAACCTAAAGATAGGCTTTGGAGGGATGAGGCTGGGCCGCAGAGGTCAAGCATACTTATTTCTTTGAAATGTCTTTTGCGACAATTTATCTAAGGCTTTACCGAGTGATTTCACGCGTATTTTCTCATTAGATTCTTAACAAGTCTGAGGAGTAGTTTCTTTCCTCCCTGTTTCGAAGTTGGGGGCAGTGAGACTGAGGTTCAGAGACTTGCTTAAGGTGACAGCGACACAGCTTGTTAATTGCACAAGCAGAATTGAAATGTTCTCACCCTCAAGATTTTCCGTTTCCCTCCTGTCAGCTCCTAAGTTCATCTGCTACAGCGTCCACATTAGAGTTGAGTGAATTCTCTACTCGGTTTGCCGACATTTAAGAGGTGGACTGGTTGGGCAGGGGCACAAAGCAGTATTTCGGTCAGGGTGAAGTCTAATGGTGACTCCCACTGAGCATGTAGCCCTCCAGGTGAGTGTAATGTTCTCACTTGGGGGATGTGACTATGTTTCTTTGATAGGATCTGGACTTAGGGCAGCATTGGTTGGACATGAAAACTCTAGGCTTTATTTTTAATAGACGTTTACTGAGCTCTGCACTGTGCCGGCCGCTGTGCTGGTGCCAGGAATAAAGGAATGTGTAAGACCAGTTCCTGCCACTGACCGGCTCACAGCCCTTTCCTTGTCCTCACAGTGTGGTGGGGACTGCCGCTGCTGAGCAGGGCTTCTGGGAAGCAGTGTGCACCTGAGCCCAGCATGGCAGGCCTGAAGCGGCGGGCGAGCCAGGCGTGGCCGGAGGAGCGTGGGGCGCAGGAGCATGGGCTGTATAGCCTGCACCGCATGTTCGACATCGTGGGCACCCACCTGACACACAGAGATGTGCGTGTCCTGTCCTTCCTCTTCGTGGATGTCATCGATGACCACGAGCGTGGCCTCATCCGAAATGGACGTGACTTCTTGTTGGCACTGGAGCGCCAGGGCCGCTGTGACGAGAGTAACTTCCGCCAGGTGCTGCAGCTGCTGCGCATCATCACACGCCATGACCTGCTACCCTACGTCACCCTCAAGAGGCGGCGGGCTGGTGAGGGCACGCGGGGGGTGCTGGAGTCGGGGAGGGGTCCCTGCTGGAGGAGGCATCGACCTTGGGGGGACTCAGAAAGGGTGGACCAAAAGGGAGGGGTGTATCTTCTCGAATGACTCCCTCTCCCCTATAGTGTGCCCTGACCTTGTAGACAAGTATCTGGAGGAGACTTCAATTCGCTACGTGACCCCCAGAGCCCTCAGCGACCCAGAACCGAGGCCTACCCAGCCCCATAAAACAGGTGAGAGGGTGGTGCTCCCCAAAGGGCCGTAATCAAGAAAGGAGACATGGGACTCCTCATATTCCCAGCCTTCCGGCTTCAGTGAAAGGACTGTCCCCTCCCCACCCCCATAGGTGATGCTCTTGTGTCACCTAGGTCCTGCGATTGTTTCCAGTGTCCTTCCAGGTCACGTTGTGGTTCCTAATCCCCAGGGTGGGTGTGGTTTCCGCGTGTACTCTGACTTCTCCCCTTACCCCCTGGTCAGTGCCTCCCCACTACCCTGTGGTGTGCTGCCCCACTTCGGGCCCTCAGATGTGTAGCAAGAGGCCAGCTCGAGGGCGAGCCACACTTGGGAGCCAGCGAAAGCGCCGGAAGTCGGTGACACCAGATCCCAAGGAAAAGCAGACATGTGGTGAGGAGTGTCACGGGTTGCAGAGGGCCGTGGAGGGCTGCCAGGGTGCCCTTCAGTGTGGGGCTCCCTTAGCTGCTGCGGAGTGAGGCAGAGCAGATGTCGATGCGGGGGGAGGGGGCGCTTCCTCCAGCTTGGTGGCAGAATATATTTCAAGTGCTTTTAGTTAACACTAAGTCGGAGGGTGCTGTCGTGTCACCCTCGTTGCAGGGTGAAGCAGGTCACGGCAGAGTATTACAACAAGCTGTACCTGTTAATTAGGGAAATACCCCCTAGAAGCAAGGCGCTGCTTGTTCGTGACAGGGTGTCTGACCTGGGCACAGCCCATTAACGGGACCTGCTGCGTTCAGACCGGGGTTGCCCAGGTGCCTGGGAAAGCGCCAGTCCTGGGGCTGCAGCAGGGAAGCCGCCAGACGCGCTGGAAGCTCCCTCGGAAGCTCGCCGCTCAGCGCAGCCTCCTGTGCGTGTCTCCCTCCGCAGACATCCGGCTGCGGGTCCGCGCGGAGTACTGCCAGCACGAGACCGCGCTGCAGGGCAACGTCTTCTCCAACAAGCAAGACCCACTCGAGCGGCAGTTTGAGCGCTTCAACCAGGCCAACACCATCCTCAAGTCCCGGGACCTGGGCTCCATCATCTGTGACATCAAGTTCTCTGAGCTCACCTACCTCGACGCATTCTGGCGCGACTATATCAATGGCTCATTGCTAGAGGCACTCAAAGGTGTCTTCATCACAGACTCCCTCAAGCAGGCTGTGGGCCATGAAGCCATCAAGCTGCTGGTGAATGTGGACGAGGAGGACTACGAGCTGGGCCGACAAAAACTCCTGAGGAACTTGATGCTGCAGGCATTGCCCTGACCTCCCCTCATGGGACTGTCCCCAGCATTCGCCTCTGGAGCGTACATACTGTCCTGGGGTTTGTTCTCTACCCTTCCAACCAGTCACACCCCTGCCTTTTTTTTACCCCCCCCCCCTTTTTTTTTTTTTTTTTTTTTTTAAGGAAAAGACGACATGGAAGTGGTGTTCCCCACCCCTCCCTGCACCCATGTGCCTGGGCTTCCCTGTGTGTCCCTTTCCACTCACCCCAACGTGTCTACAGCCACCTTGCCACTGAACC